TATATATATATATATATATATATGTGTGTGTGTGTAATTCGACCTCTATGTGTAGCTATTCTTGAAAATCCGCCCATTCAGAGTCCCGAATCTCAATCAGCAAAGTCAACCGCAATATTGCCAAATACCATACGGTGGTAGTGATGTGGCCATCAACATGTTCCTGCCACTTTGATCGCAAGAAAAGACCTGGTGCCCAACGAAAAGCAGGCTGAGCCTCCGGGAGATAGTGAAGATGGAATAGAGGTTTTCGGACCGTTTTATTAGAAAAAAGAGTCGCGAGGCGACGCGCGGGCGGCGGCGGGCGCAGCGGGTGACGGGCGCGCCGTCAGGTGGGGAAGGGCGAGCAGTCGAAGTGCACGCCGCGGTCGGCGAGGCGCGGCTCGTACTCCCTGGCGAAGGCGGCCACGACGCGGTGCTCGTGCTGCGAGTCCAGGCCGCGCACGTCCAGGCCCAGCTGCGGCCGCAGCACCAGGCGCTTCAGGGGACGACGCGAGCAGTCGTCGCTGGTGCAGCCTTCGCCATATGGAACGCACTCTTCTCATAAGCTCTCCACTCGCGGATCCTCTTCTGACACACCCTCCATTCGCTCGCCCTTCGCTCGCTCGCCCGCCACTCGCTCGCCCCACCACTCGCTCGCCCTCCACTATGGGCCTCCGCCCCAACTCACTCGCTGCCCCACTCCTCGCCCCACCACTCGCTCGCCCTCCACTCTTCTCGCTCTCTCTCCGTCACCGTCACTCGCTCGCCTTCTCACCTACCTGTCCTCCATTCGCTACGCCCCCACACTCACTCGCCCTTCACGCTCGCATTCTACTCGCTCGCCTTCTACTCGCTCGCCCTCCACTCGCTCACCCTCTACTCGCTCGCCCTCCTCTCGCTCGCGCTCTACTCGCTCGCCGTCCACTTGCTCTCCTCTCACTCACCTACTCGCTTGCCCTCTCCTCGCGCGCTCTCCACTCACTTGTCGTCCATTAGCTCGACCTCCATCCGCACGTTTTATATTTGTACTCTCTCCACATGCGCGATGGCACGCCCTCCGCTAATCTTCCTCTTTTTTCTGCTCACGTATTACTCTCACGCCCTCCACCTGTACGTCTTATCCTTGGACACTCCTTCCCCCCCCCCCCCCGTTCTCCCGTGGAAAGCCGCCTCTCTCACGCCCTCCATTTGCACCCTGTGTCGCTTCCCTAAATCGCGCTCACGCTCTCCACACTCGCTCCTACAGCCTCCACATTACCTTCTCGCACTCCACCATTTACATTCTCGCGCTTTCGCCTTCCTCTCTCATTCCATCACCCTCCTTTATTGCCCCTCGCTTTCCACTCTCGCGTCTTCAGTCCCACGTTGTCCACTTTTCCGCCACTCTCTCTCTCTCTCTCTCTCTCTCTCTCTCTCTCTCTCGTTCCACACTCTCGGGCTTTCTTCCTCTACTTTCATTCCCTTGCCTCACTTTCACGCCCTCCCCTCCCCTCTCTCGCTCTTTCTCTCGACTCTCGCGCCTTCGCCCGCGAACTTGGCATCCTCACTCTTACCCTCCCCTATTCCTCCACTCTTGCTCCCTCTCCCTCCACTCTTTCGCCTTCCACTCTGGTTCGTTCTCTCGCTCTCCAATTTCGTGCTCTCTCCTCCATTCTCGCACCCTTCACCTTCAATTTCTCGCTCTCGCCTCGCACTCTCACTCCCTCGTCCTCTACTTGTGCCCCCTTCCTCCACTTCCGCTCCCTCGCTCTCCATTCTAGCGCATTTTCCCTTCACCCTCGTTCCCTCTCTCTCCACTCTCGTGCTCTCAATATTGACTCTCGCTTCATCACCCTCCACTCTCGCGTCCTCGCCCTTCAACTTCGCGCCCTCTTTCGCCTCACTTGCCCGGCAATCTCGAGTCCTTCCTATCCACTCTGCCGCCCTATTCCTTCGCTCCCTCTTCTCCCGCATCGTTTACCAGCATCCTCTCTAGTCACACAACCTGATGCCGTAAGACAGACGACGAAATGGATTCTGGTGATGTCGAAAACCTTACAGCAATTGACAAATAGAAAAGAAATAATTCTACTAACTAAATCACATATCCTATAATTATTTGATGACTTTTATAGTTGATCTGATTTAGTTTTTTTTCGGATAAGCACCATAAAAGCGACGCCGTTTTCTAATTCATATTTAAAAAAGGGCGAGAAAGTACAAAAAAGGGGGGCGACCTTTGAGGATGACGTTGCACACGTGCTGGATGGTGCGGAGGTTCTCCAGGCGGCCGATGAACTCCAGCTCGACCAGGTGCAGGAAGTCGGTGGGCGCGCGGATGAGGTCTGCGTCCAGCAGGTCTCGGTTGCGCCACAGGTGCATAGCCAGGTACTCTGCGCACGCCCGCGTTGCGCCACGGCGAGGTCCTGAGCGAGGGCTACCGGGAATCATGATGCTGAGAAAAAGACTTGGTCACACACCGAGGGGAGTAATCAGAATACATATTGTAGTGCTGCCATGATTCCGGTTTTATTAGTTATTGCGGCATTTACATGATTGCATTTTCCGCGCTGGTGAGCATTGCAAATGGGGTGTCTTGAATTTAACGGAAAACTCCTTCCATCCCCCATAGAGATTGTGATAGGAAAGAGGGGAGGGGAAAGGATGTGGCTAGGGAGGTAGAGTTTTCAGAGGGTTCTATTTTTATTGGCATATTTTTGTGGTGGGGTGGCTTAGTGTAGGGCTGCGGTGTAGTGCTGCGGTAATAAGTAATTGCACTGAAGTAATAAGTAAATGCTGTAAAAATAAGTATTGCATGTATCGATTTTCATGAGAAAATCTCGTTTTGTGGGGCCATGTTCTGAGAAAAGTGGATAAATATTTACTTTAATTTGTAGAAAAGTACTTCCTCAAACACGTTGTGTAGTCACAATCCACACGTAGTGGGTCTGTCGGTCTGTCCTTGCGTCCGTCCGTGCTTCCGTCCGTCCATGGTCAATACTAGCGTCAACACTGGGCAGGCTATTTTCTCCACATTGATGTTCCCCGAACCGACACGAGAGCCTGTGAATTTGAAGTGGATATTTTAAATTTGGAGGAACTTTACATTGTCAAGATTTTCTCAAAAATGGCTCCAAATATTTGGATTTTTTGGGAACAGAGCAAAAGACGCTTATCAAAACGGCACAGGTCTAATTTGCGTTGAACAATGCATTTTCTAAAAGTTCAATAATTTTCGGCGGCGTCCTTCAACTACGGTAGTGAAGGTAGACATTGTTCTTGAATGCAATTTGTTTTTCAAATAAAGATCTTTAAATGAGGTCACGTGCAGTTTTAGAAAAAAATGAGTAGTTTTCGCCTAATTTATGCTTGAAAGCAATTAAAAAAATATTTTCTCAAAAACAAATCGAACTTTTTCTTTCAATTCTTTGTCGAATGGAGCAATGTACTATTACAAGAATAGCGCAAGTTCTATTTCGTGGAACTTATGACTTTTGAAAAACGCCAAAGTTACAAGTAATACGAGAAAGAATGCACTGTTGTAGTATTACCAGGAGTATTTTATTACCCAAAAAGTTGACATTTGATCCGTTTGAGTGAAATAATAGCCAGCATATTATTTCGATTCGACTTCAGGATAGTTTGTGAAAAACAGGAAAGTAAAGATAGGTGCA